TAAAGAAGGCAGTTCTGTGGAGGAGAAGAACAAAAGCAGTAGAGGTAATAGGCTCATGTCAGAGGAAGCAACTTATTGTGTGGCTGCACAATTCTAGTGCTGCTTGGTGTGAAAGAGCATGCTCAAATTACCAGAATATATCTTGTCTTACACACTGTAAGCTTCTTGCAACACGTAGAACTTTCTTTTAAGGTGAGTTCCTTGAACTAAACAAATGTCTTTGTTTTTCCTTTAAGGAAACTCTGAACTTCAAGCATAACTGGTTTTTTTTAGATAACTTTGAGTCCAGAAATAGCCTGAAAAGCTAACTTTCACATTCCCCTCTCTGTCTCTCAGGCTCATAGAAATCAAACCCTGATTAATTTTTACAACACTCAAGGAAAATGTCAGACATGAAAATGTTATCTTATGGCACCATTGTATATGCAAGCCTCCAGCAATGTTAGAGTTCTGCTGGGCAAGCTTCCTTTCCACTGCTGCTGTGGGTGCTTTTTCCTGCTGCTGTTCTATCACCTTCCTTAAATTCAGCTGTGACTGCAGGGAAGGCTCACTCCTGAAATGCTCCTTGCAGTCCTTTCCCTGCCCTTCACTGACGAGGCCACAGGGTTCTGTGCCAGGCCTCCCTTTGCCCTGGGGCTTCAGGATGGTCTGAGGGTGCTTCTGGAGCTCTGCTCACCTTTGGGGTGATGCACATCCCAGTTCTGGGGCTCAGCTTTGGGGTGATGCACATCCCAGTTCTGGGGCTCAGCTTTGGGGTGATGCACATCCTGCCCTGGGGTTCAGCTTTGGGGTGATGCACATCCTGCCTCCCCAGCTTTCTCTCAGCTGCACTGGGGCTGGAGCAGACCAGCTGCCACTGCCACTCTGCAGCTCAGTGCAGTCAAACATCAAAGCTCCAGCTCCACTTCAAAACCCTTTAAGTTTTAGGACTTGAGGAAGCAGAAGGAGGAGTTGTGAGGGGAAGGCTGTGGCAGGGAATGAAGGGCTGTGTGAGGGAGGGCACTTTGCTCTTGCTTTACACAGCGAAGAGCAGCGAGTGACTGTGATTTGTGCTTCTTGTGTTCATGAGGGGTGTGGGACAGCCTTCACCTGAGCCTCTGGACAGCACAAGAACCACTCCCAGGCCTTTCATCTTTACCCTGTCACAAACCTTTTACCCGCCTTGGAGAAGGAGCCCTGGGCAAAAATCTGTTTTTACATCAAGGCACCTGGATTCAGTTTAGAACACTTCTAAGTTCTTCCTTCATTTTCTTTCCCTCCAGCTGCTAAAGTTCTTTCTGCAGGTGTCTAACAAGAGCTACCAAGTTAAGGATTTGTTTTGGTTGGTCATGGTTCCCAGTGTGTCCCTGGAGGGGACACACACCGCCTGTCACCTCTGCAAGGACACAGCCCCTCTGCTCTGGGTGCAATTCCTGCAAACACGGGCAGGGCTGGGTGAGCGAGGGGAGAGGGAGAGGGGAAGGGAGAGGGAAAGGGAAAAGGAAAGGGAAAGGGAAAGGGAGAGGGGAAGGTGAAAAGGAAAGGGAAAGGGAGAGGGGAAGGGAAAAGGAAAGCTAAAGGGAAAGGGAAAAGGAAAAGGGAAAAGGAAAAGGAAAGGGAAAGGTGCTCCTCTATTGCCCTGTCCCATTGCAGCACAGCCCTGTGGAACCTCTGTGAGTGCTGTAAATGGTCACTGCACATCACTGGAGTCAGGGTGATGCTGCTGGTGTGAAGGACAATTCTTAAACATCAAACTTGAGGAGAGGGGTAACCTCAGAGGAGAGCTGGCAAGCACTCATCTGTTAGTGGTAATCTGGATAGGATTTTAAGACAGGAAGCTTTTTTTGTAGGTTTTCAAGATTTAGTTTTTACTTCTCATTTGATTTGTAAGACGTTTAATTAATAGCTTTGCCTGTGGCAGTAATTGGTGAGTGATATCCCCCTGTCTTTATCCCAACCCAGGAGAGTTTTGTTCCATTTTCTGTGCCCTGCCCTGCTGAGGAGGGCAGTGATGGAGCAGCAGGACCTCGGGATGTACGATCTTTATCCATTCTCACTTGGATCTTCTAAGGGCATCTCTGTTGATCAGACTGAATTACTTAGAGAAATTAAACTGCAATCTCCGTACCATCCATTAGCTGGAACTCTATTTGCGTGTAGCAGTTGGGTTTTGGCAATCAGAAGGAGGAGGATTGTGCACAGCAAGCTGTCTGCTCAAAAAAGATCCGTGTAGTGCCTAAGGCTGCGTAGGAATAGGAAAGGTAAAAATAATATGGGGGCCAAATGAAACATCCATCAGCACAGGGATGTGCCTGCTGGAGGACAGGCTGTGCTTTGGCCCTGTGTTTAGTATTTATCTCTCCTGTAAATCCTCGTGCCTTTTATTGTAACACACGACTGGCAGTACAGAAATTGGCCAATTCCAGTAGGAGCAGTGGTAGGCCAGGAAAGAAGGAGATGTGGATTTCTCTGGGCTGATTTTATAGGCACCACTGCAAAACAGTGGCAATGGAACCAGACACACGCCTTACTTATTTTATCAACATTGAATAGATACCTCTAGATGCCAGTATGAATATTGAAATATAAATTGAAATGAGGATTAAGTACTTGTATTAGTGAGACTCTATCATGTCTGGAATCTTAAATGTAAGGCCTAATCCTGCTCTGCCTGAATGTAGGGAGAGTTTTACTGCAGATTTAACTGGGAACATACCAGGAGCCGTCATGACAAAGCTTTAAAGGCACAATGTAAGATTCCTGCTATATAAAAGAGTAGAATCTGGACCTTTTACAAACCCCTGCCTACAGGAAAAAAAAAAAACTTCAACTTGAGAATCAGCCAAAGAACCAAGGAAAATGTACACTGAGGAGTAATGTCACTACTGTATCTGTGTGAGTTCCAAAATTCCTCGGGGGATGTAAGTCTCTGTAGATGTTTTATGAGGGCAGGAAAAGCACGTTCATGACTTGAGTGTGTGTTTTATGGACACACCGTTCAGCCACTGCACATTAAGCAGCGAGAGCTTTGCTGTATAAAAGCACTTAGAGTTTACAGTTTCAGGTTGTGCAGTGATACTCGACTGAGCCAAGCCGGTGCCAAGTCAGAACTTCTGGGAGATGTTGTGGGGCAGAAATACCCTCAGCAGAGGCACAGCTGGGTGTCAGGCTCTGCTGTGCCTGCTCCCGGACAGGCAGCCCGAGCTGGCCCGAGCTGGCAGTATTGGGGAGCCCAGCCATGCCCTGCTGTGTCTCTGCTGTCACAGCAGCCTCGCGTTTCCCTGCTCAGCCGGAGCTGGGAGCGCTGCCTGTGCCCGGCCAGGTGCGTTTGTCCCTCCGGGAAGGAGAGCTCAGGAACCACACACGGGATGCTCCAGGCGTTTGTGCTGCCGGGCTTGGTGCCACGAGCTTTAAATGACTCCATCGCAATCCTCAGAGGCACACAAAAGGTGTGGAATTAGAACAATTTACTGATATTTGTCGTTAAATCGTGCTCCCCCCAACAAAGACTGCCTTGGATTTACACCCTCCCAAGGCAGACAGAGCACCTGAACAGCACTCACATGGACAGATTTCAATGTGCTGAACTCCTGCTTCTAAAAATCTTCTCATCTAAAGATTTCTCTGCACTAAATCTTCTTCCTCTGGGTTCCTGATTTATCTGGAGGTGCAGAAATGGCTGTGGATTCAGGAAGTCAGGGAATGCTGTCAGTGAGAGGGACAGGATCCATGTCAGGGCCATGCACAGGTGAGTTTCTGCCTGAGCCTGGCTCTGCTGTCAGGGCCATGCACAGGTGAGTTTCTGCCTGAGCCTGGCTCTGCTGTGATGCCTGTGCATCATTCCTGTCACCACAGCATCCGGGGGCTTCTCGGCTTCCAGGGCTGGAGCTGGGAGCAGTGAGGGGACAATCACCCTGCTGCAGCTGGCAAGTGATGCACCAAGACACTGAGGCTCAGATTCGTGTCTCAATATTTGAGTTAGTTAAAGAAATTGTGTTGCAAGCCCAGACCTGAAGTGATTCCCTTAAAACAGAGAGCTGCTCACTGCAAAGTGAGGAACTGAGGAGGCAATCTGAAGACACAAGTCAGCATCCCGAGCACAGAGCCATCTCCACCAGGACACTCCAGCCACCAAGGCAGATTTCAAATTAAAGGCAGTGCAAACTGTACCTGGATTGCAATAAACCTTCATGCAAATCCCCTATATTTTACATGCACGACATGATATGCTAGCACTGTTTTAACTGACACTTCTAAGCCCTGGAAACCGGTAAAGGGAAAACCCAGCTCATTTTAAAAGAGCAGGGTAAGCTTCCTTTGCCCACCAGTTGGTACAGTTCTTTCACAGCCTGCTGAGCTGCTGCTGCCTCCAGTGCAGCGAGTTTGATTGTATTTGGTCAATGGAATAACTCCAGGTGCAGAACTGCACAGATCTCCTGGCAAAGATGAGAATGGCTCAGGTAAGGCAGCTTCACTGCCAGCACCAACACAGCGTTCATCAGTGACATTCGGTGCTGGAAATTTCTCACACCAGAAGTGTGAATTGTCACTGACTCTCAGCAAAGACACTGCAAGAGCCTTTGGCACTCGGGTCTGAGTTGTATCGGAGAGCTGAAATCTCCTTGCTGGGGTTCATCAGCTGCTTCTGAGAGTGCTGGCTCAGCTGAGCAGAGAATCTCTCCTTGCCCTTTCCACCTCCAGCTCTCTGGATTCAGCGGGCCCTGTTTGGAGAGAAAGAGACAAGGGAAAGACCCGGCTTTTAACCCCCGGAGAGTCTCTGAAGTGTTAAAAAAACAAACAGCTGAAGAGGCTCCTGTGAAATAGACTTTACATGGAGAGCACTCCAACTCCAGTATCATCAGAGGGCTTACCGAATCCCAGAATCATTCTGATTGGGAAAGGCCTCTGAGAGGATCAGATCTAACTGTTAACCACGTCCCCAAGTGCCACATCTCTGTGGTTTTAAATACCTCCAGTGCCCTCCAGCAGCTCCCCAGCGATGCTCTCTGCATGTCACAGCTGACCTCACCAAGTGACTGGAGATCGGGCTCACAGCTCCCGATTCTCAGCTTAATCAGCCCTGACATTCCCAACCGCGCTGGATCCCGGTGTGCCGGGGCAGTGAGACCATCCCCGCCGTGTTTCATCACCCGCTTACTCCGGCCAGGGCAGGGCAGGGGGGGAAAGCCGAGCTGTCCCCAGCTGTCCCTGCAGCAGGGATGGTGCCGGGCAGGAATTCGGCCCCACTAAAAATAGCGGTGCCGGGGCTGCTGCCGTGCCGGGGACCCCGGGGCAGGGCTCAGCCCCAGCCGTGCCTCGCTGTCCCCGCGCCGGGACAAAGCCCCTCGCCCTCATCAGCCCGACTGGTTCCGGGC